AGCGTAGGTTCTGCCGTTGCGATCGTTTCTATACAAACAGAATTTTCATATGTTCTGAACGTCATTTTATAACGTGCATTTGAAATAAGTATGACAAGCGTCATTAGAATGCACAATCATTTATTTCACTTTATCTACCCTTACGGTTAAAGTAATCACTTTATCTATCCTGGCGATTAAAGAAGGTTTAGCCTACTCATTCAAACTTATTAAAATGTCATTTTAACATATTATGTATGCTATAGAATAAAGTAAATGAAATTAGGGAACACTCCAATCCTTCAGATATTTTGGTGTTTTCGCATCTTGCGATTTTAATCAATAAATCCTTGTATTAATATTCAAATTCTCCTTAGCATTTATATTATATGTACGGCGCAATGAATTCCTAACAATCAAAATTCCATCTGTGTTAAAGTAGAGCACATAATCACAGCAATCTAACAATCTTAAGTGATACCAAAGTGAAGAGAAACTGTCGAGAAATTTGAGAGGAATAAATGACAGCAATAATCTACGCTGATTAATATGTACTGACTTTACCGACACGCAACTTATGGAATTAAGAAATTTCTAAGCGGCAGTTTCATAACTCACATTAATAAGACGTTTATTGACATATCGTCCTAGGCAATTAGTTTCCATGTAAGTAAACGTTTTAATTAATTGCTGGTTCAATATTAAGCCGAAAACAAACTGAAACGTTTAAAATTTGAAATATTTATTCAGATGCGATTTTGATTGATCTCTTAAACATGGAATTAATCAACATCAAACCACAAATGGGCCAATTACGCTTATACGACTCATGAAAACGAAATAATCCACCTCAATATAAAAGTAGAAATGAAAATTTCATTACCACTAACGATTCTTTTCGCCTTTGTGGCATTTCATTTGAATTTCAAAAATGTCCTAAGAAATCGTCCAACTGGTATATAAATCATCAATCTATTTCTCATGTTTTATGGACAATCCATTATAAAATTAGTGGTGAGGATTTTACTATTGAGGGCATGAATAATGCACGATAATGCATAATTCATGAAGGACTTTAATCAGGTAGTATTAAAATGGATTACAGTTACAGATCACATTATTAACTAATCTTTGTAGAATTTTATCGACTATCGACTTTATCTAAAACGGTTAAGCGCTCTTTATCCATTTCCCATTCTTATTTTGATGTTGGTGTCTGATCCTTTATGTTAGCACTTACCTATTCTGAAATTGAAGGGAGCAATTTTTTGGTAAGGTACCTCTTTCATCTGTTCCTTTTCAGAAATAGTTCAAGGTCTTAGTAACAGTTATGCCAACTGTCTCTAAAGAGACTCGTTTTCCTCGAATGAATTGGTAACATCTGCCCTATGTCAAAGCGGAACAATTTTTGTGTGCCATTACATCTGTGGAAGCGGTGAGAAATTGCAGTTAAGTTAATCGGGGAGATTCAGATTTACGTTTTTTGAATCACATTCATTATGTCCAATTTTGATAGCGAGCCCACCGTCGAGGCTTACTAAACGTGAAATGAGGAATGGTGCGGAACTGAAAAACTGAAATGGGTTTATTTTATTTTATTTTATTTTGCCTTTATTTTTGAGTGGGCGGGGTTTCAGTCAAAGCTGCTCTACCAACCCAACCCACTATACATTTACAAATATCCATGCCCGAACTCGGATTCGAACCAGGGACCCTTAACACCACAATCCAGCTTTAACTAAACTGCGTCTCACGGGCCGACGGAAAAGTCATTGTTTCCAAGCGCTATGCCATTCTAAGGAAAATCAAAATGATTTACGTTTAGTGATAAACTGGAAAATGTAACAGAAAAGGTCAATTTGGGAAGAAGTATCACGATACCGTCCAGTTCTAAAGGCGCATTGGTCTCAGTGGGACTCGTTACGGTTAGATGGTCTTCTGGAGAGGGTTCTAGAAAATGATAATGGCACGACCACAGGATGAAATTAGTGATTCCAGAGAGCAAATAAACTAAGGTATATCGTGAGACCATCTCGAAGTGACGAAAACCCTGGTGTGGGAGCGATTCTACTGGGTAAATAGTAAACGCGATGTCAAAGAATGGTGCAGAAACTGTACAGTTTGCGCCACAAGCAACAGGTCAGCAAAAAAATTGATATCGCAGGGCCCTTCCCAGATACAGATTCTGGAAACAAATACATCTTGGTGGCCATGGACTATTTCAGCAAATGGACAACAGCATATTCTCAGCCAAATCAAGAAGCGACAACTGTGGCAGACATTCTGGTAAAAGAACTTTTTAGCAGATTGAAGTACCCCCTGGAACTACACTCTGACCAAGGACGAAATTGTGAGTCGGCGCTATTCGAAATAAGGGTGTGACAACTATTGGGCATTCGCAAGAACAGAACCACTGCTCTACACCCACAGTCAAACGGAATGGAAAGTTGTGTCCGACCACTAGCGTGATTGGGACAAATATCTGCATTTGTTCCTGGTGGCGAACCGTTGTGCGGTGTAGGAAACTTCAGCCAAGAAGTTACTGTGGAAAACGAGTAAGTGGTAACCTGCGTCAAAAATTGGATGTTCACGATAATATGCAGTTAGCTAGCGACAGGATGGTAGTGTAATACGATTGGAGGGCCCAAGTTGGTGGTTATCAACCCGGAGATTTGATTTGGTTGTATCATTTCCAGAGGAATCGCGGCCTATCCCCGATGTTATAAAGAGCTTGGGAACGACCATATACAGTTGTGAAGAGAATAAACGACTTGATATATCGGATACGGAAACTACCATGAGGAAAACCCGTGGTGGTGCACATAAATCGATTGGTTTCATGCGCGGGACAGAATGAGCCCGAGGAACAGGAAGCAGCGAATGTGATGCAAGTGAGTGAGTGCACTTTCGCGGAATTTATGGCACTTTACTCTGGAATGCAAAGATCACGTTTTGGTGTTGAGGATGAGGAATCTTGTTTGAAGCACCAACAGAATACACTTTGGCTCAAGGACGTCAAGATGTTCAGAGGCATTGCCGTGCAATTCAAGTTCTGGTGAGAAATTTACCTGCAACGTCCCAAGGTGGGTCAAGCGTGTTATCTAAAGGAGCATGGGCGATTCCGTGACGAAATACCTTGTGATTAGCCCAAGTTGTCAGGATTTTTGGAATGCGCTACAGCACCTGCAACGAAATCTACAAATTCATGGTGTTACAAAGCTGGCAATTCCGATGATCGGATGTGGTCTTGATAGGTTGAACTGGCGAACATTCCAGAAATGTCCATAGACATCCAGGTGCCATGAACGATTAGTCATCGGAGATAAAGTGCGAAAGTGGATGTGACGTAATCTTTGCGAGAAATATGATATTTTATTCTTGAATGCTCACGACCGCTCGGGAACATTCGACTTTACTATTTAAGCAAATCGGATTGCGTTACAGTGACGTTGCCATTAGAACGCCGAAGTAATTAATTGTTCGCGCCATCATAAATTTGAGTAATTGTTAGTGATAAATAATAATTACCGTTATAAATTAATCGATGTTAAGACTATTATACATTGATCGTCTATAACCTTGCAAGCAAATGCCCTTGGCAAGCGAGAGATCTTGAACCGGTCCATGATCGCCACCAGGTGAAAAAATGGGGTCAATTCCCTTCTATGTCCTTGAAATTCAGGTCTTTGACTTCGGATGACATTGAAAATGTACTTTGACACCACAATTGAGCTTATTGCCCTTGGATGACCTTGAACATGTAAATTGACACAGAAAAATGAGACCATTGACCTTGCATGCCCTTAAAAATGTAATTTGACACCCCAAAAAATGAAATACGATATCTACAGCTAGCCTTTTGGGCTTAATCTCGACCTACTTCCCAACAACACCGCCTACGTGGCACGCGACATTCACTTGAATTCCCAAAGTCACCGCCGCGTAGCACCTCCCCTTGACCTACTTTCCAAGGTCACTACCAGGTGGTGAACGACCTTCAACTGGTTCAGAATCGCACCTGTATAACTTTATACGACGAGTAACTTTAGTGCAAAACACTCAGCTCTTACACAAGGCAAAGCTTGCGCTTACCTTGAGAGACTCCACCTACGCTGATGCGCACATTTTTGAGAGTTGGCAACCGCGTGACTTTTTAGAAGGGGAAATCTGTCTGGGCCATCTCGGGAGCAAAAACGCTACTTATATTAGGGCCATCTGGGTTCTCGATTGAAGCGGCCGTCCAGAAAGCATCGTGTATAGTTTACGTTTGTTATTTTTCTGTTATTTAAGGCAGGCAGTAATCTTTGCATTTCTTTATAATTTATTTGTGTTTGTATTATTTATATTTTTTATAATTTTCCATATTTCTTTTTCCAATTGACTTAATTTAATCTCAATGCAGAATCACATTTCATTTTGGGTGTAAATGTTTGCTCATTTTATGTTTATGTTTTGATTACATGGTCTTGGACACGTAGGTAAAATTATAAATTTAGCTGATCATAAACAACGCCTCAGCCGCCGTATTCGCCAGTTTTAGCCTCATGCGACTTTTTCCTGTTTCCAGAACTAAAGAGACAGATGAAAGGACAACGTTTTGCCACTATTGACGAGATAAAAACCGCATAGGTGGAGGAGCTAAACGCCATACCGAAGATCGTGTATCAGAAGTGCTTTTAAGATTTGAAAAAGCGCTGGCACAAGTGTATAATATCAATTTCTCACATTTCTCAGAACGTTTGAGTAGTTTTAAAGTGATTTTGAGATCAATGACTATCTAGAAGCCAATTGGAAAATGCCTTAAAGACAAAGAGAAAGCACGAAAGGATTTCGACGTACTTCAATGCTGAGATGGTGCTTGCAAACACTACATTTGTTAGTGGTCGAGTATGTATTGACTGTTTCGATAACAAATTATTGCAGTGTCAGGTACGGAAAAATCATCTAAATAATGTTACATTAGCAAAGATGGAATAATCAGTTCGGTTTTGAAACCAGAGAAAAATATGAAAAACACTTACGCAGCTTCTTCAACAACGGTAGCTAGTATAAACTCAGTACTTTTGTCGTTAGAAATAATTTGGCATTCTGGCTCGGCGGGTTCTTCGTCTTCGTCTCCTGATCCAGACCCTGTATTTGTAGCTTGTTCATCTATAGGTGGCGGTCCTAAAGTTGTTTCGGCTAATCTTCTGGTGTTGGCTACATTTTCTATCACAGTACCGGGTTTAATTTCACATGGAAGGGGTTTACGCGTTAACCGCGCTTTTATCGCTCTATTTCGTAAAGCCTGTAACAAAATACGTACAATTAGTTTAAATACTTTTCTCGGCGTCATACATTACACTTGACAGTAGTAACAATTATTTAAATTTTTTTTGTGCAAATGTGAACATTTTAATGGTATATTAAGAATGAACGAGTACAAGTGCTTTAAAGACCACTCGCTTTGTATAGTTTTTGTATTATACTTGTAATGTAATTTAAAGATAAGGAAAATGGTTTATCACAGAAGCAGAAGAAAAGTCGTTACCTACAAAATCCAGCAGTCTATTACAAAGAATATGAAAAGTTGTTGGCGATAGATGAATAAGAAGCATCTTACCAACAAAGTCTTAAATGCACTCCTCGTTAATCAAAATCTGGTGGAATGGACTGTGTGGCATTAAAGAAATCCTATTAACTGTTAGTTAAGAAAAATATCAATATGCTTGATACCACAAGGTCCCTTCCTCAAGATTGAATCTGGCGATTGCAGTTTTTAAAGTTAAACGAAGCAATGGCAAAAATACAACTGATAGCAGCATTTTATCGGGCAATTATGTTTTCTGGAATGACATAAAAGGTATCTATCTCAACTTACCTTAAAAATATTATAATAAAGAAAAACCATGATGATGCATGGTATGTAGAAAGATGAAAGACTAGAGTAGATTATGAAATCGCTGTTGTAAAAGAGACACGCATCTTCGATTCGATCTGGTGTATTATTTAGACCAAGGACTATAGGTGATCCAATGGCAGCTGATATCACCCACACTAAAACTATTGTAAGCCACACTCTCCGATTGCTTTTGTGCTTCGCGTATTTAATTGGTTGTGTAACTGCTATATACCTGTAACAAAAAAAGGGGGTTAACATTTATATTTATCATAAAACAATAGTATGACTTCTTTAGTCATAAATTTGTAATTAAATTTTTAAGCAAAAGAAATTATTACCTTTGTAATGCTACGAAACGAGATGTTCACGAAATGTTCACGATTGTGAAGTATTTTTTATTAAAACGAATATAGTGCCGGGTTTTAAGTTAAAAGTATGCGAGATAAGGTCGGATTTTTCCAAAGGAGGGAATAGGAATACTTTATAAAGAAAGGGAAATAAGTGCACTAATTTCTAAATAAAAATTCAGCAATTTATTCAAGGCGGCCCGGATTACGGATTCGTGCCGTAAATAATTAATTCATCCTTAAATTTGATATGCACGGGATGTTTCCAATTTTAAATGCTTATTGCGGTTAAACAGGATAGAGTATAATGTACAGGAGCCCTTTTGTTTTGTATGTAAACAACGTAGAAAAAAAATTGAAATTTATGGCAGATTTCATCAGTGGTGGTACTTACTACACGAAAACAGTATAATCGGAATTTTGATTAAATGGTAATTTTGGATATTATACATTCTAATTTAAAGAGCACACGCTTCCCATTGCTCCACCTAATACCTATTATACGATTCCGTTTGATGGATAATAGAATCTTCGAGCTAACCTTATTAAAATTGCAATTGCGCTCCAGAATTAATCATTCAACTCAAATCGCCATTAATTAAATTACACCATAGATACGCGTTGCAATTAACATTATGTTTATCCAGAATAATTGGTCGCTATGTTGAAATAACTGACCATCCTGTTACATACATATAAACTAATCTTTATTTACGATATTTCCCATTTCAAATCTGTGTGTTTATGTTTTCTTTCAAATTATTCGACGTGGTCGTAAATTAAATACCTAGAGTGACGTCAGTTTGAGTAATACTTCATCAATTTATATTATATTATATATAATTATTATATATACTGAAGAGAAAGTGACGGATCAATGTCAACCTAAAAGAGCTCGAGGAGCATTTAACGCAGCTGAAAACGAAAGCAAGATTTGTGTAGTGTGTAAAATGGATAATTGCACTAATGAAAGTTGCATATAATTTCGCAGGATGATTATGAAAAAAAGGAGGAACATCGCTCAAGAAAACAAGTTGTGTTTTCTGTGTGTTCAATCAGCCCATTGGTCAAGTAAGTGTCCTGACCAAAACCGGAAATGCAAGAAGGATGAATATAGCTGATGCAAGAGGCACCATACGGTTCATTTGAAGCATTCATCAGTTTTCAAGAATAAAGGGAAGGCTGAAACAAGTGAAAATGAACGTTCTTTTCACCTGTAAATGTTCAAAAGAAAAGTGATCGACCTGCTTCTGAACCAGATGAAGAAGAAGGTTCAATCAATACAACTGGTTCATCAGAAAATTTGCCGAAAATCAAAATCCTGGTCAAAGGACCAAAAGGATATGAAGATGTTCATGCGGTGCATTAATCAGCATGATAGAAGAAGACGTAGCTCATCGACTTGGCCTAAGTGGGAAGCAACTATCAAGTTCGGCGGAATTCGATATTAATATTCAATTTACGTGAATCTCTCTGTTGGGCTAGCACAAAAGAAGAACGAATTCTACCGAGTGCAAAGAGTTGAAATTACTACGTCCTCGCAATTTTTATGCGGAAGCCTTCCGTAAGAAGTACCCTCATCCCAGAGAAATGAAATCAATGTCGGTGAACCAGAAACGCATACTGTTCACTGCAGATGAAATATTGGAATTGGTCTCTGCACTAAGAAGTTACTTGGCTGGTATGCAATTTACGTTTCAATTGATATTGTTAAGCAGTTCTGCTACATGTCCCTGAGTCAAGAAATTATACCTAATTTCTACGATGAAACAAGGAAAAGTTCCCCATTGTAATTAAAATAATCCAAGAGCAAATGTGCGTAGATAACTATTTTGATGCCCCAAAAAGGACCCATCAAAATACAACAAGATATGTGCAGACTTATCCCTTTAGTTAAATAAAATTCCTCAGCAACTGAGGTATTACAAGTAACACCAGAAAAGTTACGTGAAATGAATAAAAGATATATTGTCAACAAGAGTGAAATTCCGTGCCAAAAGGGATTGGGAATTCTATGGGATTGTAACAAGAGCGCTTATTTGCGTAAATAATTTGCAATTTTTCCTTGTCTGATTTTGGTTTTCAATTACACGCTGGAAATTGGTCGTATTGTTACTTCTGCAACTTTGCAAATTAAGCGGATCATGGTCAAAATAAGTGGAATGGGATTTTTAACTATATTTTCTAAACTACTAGCACTTTTTGATAACAATTAGCTGTAATACCTTGTAAAATTAACTTAAATGAGCTTCGCAGACACAGCCAGCCAGATTGACAAAATGTTGTGGGATTTTCGAGGTTTCGACACGAGGGGATTCTGTCGATTCTGGATTACGATAGCAAGGTGGACAGGGGCCACGTAACGTGGAAATGGAACGGAAAAATGGACACGCGTATTCAGAGGGGGGCTGAAGGGGCTGCAGCCCCCCCCCCCCCCCCCCCCGAAAAGTTGCCAATCATCTTAATATTTTCTGCCAATAAGGAAAGGATATATTGGCCGTGCTTCCGGTTACTACAGCGACGGCGGAGCGGAGTTTTTCAACACTCAGGCTATTAAAAACGTACTTGCGCAGCACGACATCGGGCGCTAGACTCACAGGGCTCGCATTATTAGCAATCCATAGAGATATTGTGATTACCGATGACATGGTAATTGATAAATTCGTAGAATGTAAAAAAAATAGGATATTAAATTTCGTCTTGTAAAAATTGTTTTATGTATTTAAAAGTTCGAGCCCCCCCCGAACAAAATTTCTGGATACGCCACTGGCCACGTTCACTTAGGCTTCAAATTCGAGCCCTTTGTACTACGTCCCTTACTAGACTCAACTGCATTCAAACCATCCCACACATGAGAGGAAGTCTTGTCTTGTGCATTGAGATAATGCTCTTAATCTTGTTCCCAATGATCTTGGTGCATGAATTACTATTTTGACATGTTTTGATCAAAATCGCGTGATAGAAATTTATCAGCTCCAACTTTGCGTACTGTAAGCTCAGGTTCGTGAGGAATAAGATGCAGTACAGCTTAATTGTATCCGGTAGTTGGCAAAGAAAGCGATAATGTGTAAAGGAGAATTAATGGGTCATAAAACAGCAAAATTTAATTCGTTTTGAGCCGTCGAAGGGAGCCATTTTTGAAATTCGTCAGTTTTACGCTTGTAGTTGAAAAAGAGTAAATTTCGGAAACGAAAATAATACGATTAACAGAGATTCCACTGAATGCCAAGAATTGGATACGCTTTCAGCTTGTGCCAAATTTATGCCGAAAATAGCTTACAGGGTGTTTTTTTCTAGATCCAAAGTTACAAAACTTCATATTAAAAAATCTCACTGTTTTTAAATGGAATACCCTGTATATTTTTCATATTCATATTTTAGCTCCTCCAAACCCTTCAACTTTTGATAATAATGTCATATACCTATCTCTGATAGTTTTCGAAATATCTTGGTTTTCCTGGGTTTTATATTCTATTCTTGAATAAGTTATATGTAATTTACATAATAGTGAGGTGGCCATGCAAAAAAAGGCAATTTTTATCTGCCTCGTTCAAAGCTAAAATCATATTAATTAATTAATTTTTCTAATAATTCATTCAAGTCTATAAAAACTGGAGAATAAATTTGATAGTAAAAACATAAACAAATATCTTGGTTTTTGTACTTTTTATATTTTAGTCTGAAATAAGTTCTAATTTACATAATAACGAGGTGAATATAGAAAAAATTGAAACTAATATCACTGACTGGATGACATTAGGAGTTAAATTAAATTTGCTTTTACTTGTTTTCCAGTTTTTGGACTGAAAATAAATTGTTTGAAAAATAAATTAATTGATATGATTTTCGTTTTGGGCGAGATAGATCAAAATTGCCTTTTTTTGCATGGCCACCTCACTATTATGTAAATTACATATAACTTATTTAAGATTAGAATATAAAACCCAGGAAAACCAAGATATTTCGAAAACTATCAGAGATAGGTATAGGACATTATTATCAAAAGTTGAAGGTTTTTGGAGGAGCTAAGTGATGACAAAAAAATATGCAGGGTGTTCCACTTAAAAAAAGTTATATTTTGTAATATGAAGTTTTGCAACTTTGGACCTACCAAAATAAACACCCTGTAAGCTATATTTTTAATCTTTCATAGTAGATGTAATTATTTGACTTTTACGTAACCCACGATAAAAGATATAAAACCTGGAATCAAAATTTAAGTAATAATTTTGACAATATACTGACGCTTGCAAATGCCCAATTTTTCTTGCATTCGAATTAATTTTAAAACTACTAGCTTTTCGGATATTAACCATATAATAAAAAAGACGTACAATTACACGTAGAATTCAAAAATGCATTCAAATACTGGGGGTTCTATTAAAAAAAATGTACCATTTGGGCGCCCTACTTTGTGGGCGCACCCTGTATAATTCCAAATATGTTTAAAATGTGGAGAATATTCAACCATATCATGATACAAAACACTCTATCGAAAAATCTTGTCTTCAAGGCATTAAGTTATGCCACAGATTTATCTGTGGTTATGCCGCGCAATCGTTGACTCACCCTGTACACATTGATTATGTATACCATATTAGGCTACCAGTAAAAAATAAATGTAGATATTAGGTGAGTTCAAATAAAGCACTAATTTCATCTATTTACAAAGCTATGATGAAGATAGATACTATTCATAGAATAGCAATTAACATATTCCATACAATTGAAATGAAAGGTAAAAAAAATAAAATTTTCAGTGACTTTTTGTTCCTTATTTCATCGCAAGTATTTTTAAATACAAGTCGTAGCAGTCGACGATTTCCTTTTAAGTGGGGAAGTTAAAAGATGATTTCGCTTTCACCGAACCGATTTATATGTAAAA